CATATTTTATATTTGGGTAAAGTAGGTTGAAAAATAAAAATAAAGGATGGAGGGAGGGAGAGAGGGAGGGAGGGTGCTAGTTACATGGTCTCAATACATACCGAACAGATTGTTGTTTTTGTTTATTTGGGCGGAAAACTCCAAAGTTCATGTTATCAGATGGTATGCGTGCCATTGGCAAATTGTTAGTTTGTTGTTTCTGTTCTTTGGTATAAGGAAGATGATCAAGATATAATTCTGTTCAAACAAACTACACAGCTGCTCAACCTTCTTTTATCTCTCTTTAATCGGTCTTCCTTGTTTATAAAACAACATAGATAGAAGAGAATAGCACACATGATATATCGAATCCTGCCTACACGCATTCAAAATGAATGTCTAAAGGAAATTGTTGCGATGAAACTTCATTGAAGACATAAACCAAAAATCTTGTGAGATAGTAGTGATCTCTGATCTATAGCTGGCAGGACTATCGCATCAAACCAGATATCTGGAATCATCTTATTATGATTGTGTCCGTAGAGTTTTCACCTCTTATGGTGGGAAGAGGGAGAGGGAGTTTCGTGATGTCACATGGAATTTCAATCCAGTAAGGAATTGCGAGGAAAATCTAAAGAAGTCTTTGCCTGATTCAGAGAAGTAGAACAAAAGAAGACAAATGCGATTAGAATCGAAAGTCAGAAAGACGATGCATGTGAAAAATAAAAAAAACATTTATTTCATATAATTAAAACAAGTGACAAATGAGACAATATGATTATCATTTATTATAATATTCTTTTAACAATATTACTTTGCTAAGCATTCAAGAGACACACATTCAGGAATACAATTATTGCTTATGCGAACTTTTTAAAAAAGATTCCATAAAACGTAAGTAGAAGTAAATTAAAGTTCAGATGGATCATGCTTTTGGAGTTGCTCTCCGTAGTCGGTAGCTTGTGAGCCAACGAATGTATCGTAGTGAGCGATAATCTCGTCAGCAGACAATTTTCCGTCTTTATTATCATCAGCAATAGCAACGAGATGCCGGGCTTCTGCTTCAGCATGGTCAAATCCAACTGGCATAATCCAATCTCTCATCTCTTCCTATAAGTTATATTTACAATTAAGCTTTTAATTAAACTTTTTAATACCTCGTTTAATTTTCCGTCGGCGTTCTTATCACGGTGCTCCTTGAACATTTCGCGCTCAGATTGTACCCAATCTGGTTCTTTTCCGTTTAATTCTGGGTAATCTTCTGGTCTGTACATATCTCCAATGTATTCTTCCAAATCGACAGATCCATCCTTATTCTTATCGATATCTTCGATGGTTTCCTGAGATGGAAAATTCAATGCATTTCTATGTTTTTATGTAATCTTACAGCAACAACGACATCTCTCATGTGTTCACAGTCTTCTGGGTGCATGAAACATCCGTATTCAGTTCTGTCCAAAGATTCATTGGAATCGTAATCAGCAACTGCCCATCTTAAAAGAATATCATTATAATTATCATTATCTGATTGGTTTCACCTCTTTTCATCACGAGCAATCATTTTTTTGTATTCAGGGGCAAGTTCTTGTCCTTCTCCAGTGCTGGAACCGTAAACCATCTCTCTGAAAGTATATATTGATATGATCGAAGATCAAATGAACATTGATACCTGTAGTCTTCCCACTTGATTTGTCCGTTAACAATCTTGTCATCCTTATAGTTTTTCCATGTCCTCTCAACATCATTGTTAACGTATCTCTTCTGCATGAAGTTGATGTGCTCCTTCAATTCACCTTCCTCGATGAAACCATCTCCGTCAGAATCCATTTTTGGGACAAGTTTGCTGAACAGTCGATTATTTGATCTAATTGAAATGAATATTTACCCTAATCTTTCTTTGGCCTTCTCTGGAGAGAGCTCATCGAATTCAGAAGCTGTGTCTTTACCCAAGAATTGCTCGTGGTCATAATTAGCTCCATGTTCTTTTCCCTTAAAAAATTATAAATATAAACAATGTTATATTATTTGAAATTCTGATTACCTTCAAGTGTTCAGAGTTCTTCTCTGGATCAGTGCTAGAGTGGCAACAAGCAGTTGAGACGAGAACGATTAAAATTAAATATTTCATTTTAATCTGTAAATAACAAAGTGATTGAATGTGTTGATAAAACAAAACAATAGTATAAGAAAAGCTTGGAATAAGACAATGGGTCAGAAAGATAGTAAACGTAGAGAATGAGAAGGCGTATAGCTATATTACACAAAACACGCCCTCTCAATTGGACTGCAAATGTATTGCTGGCTTTGTACACGTAAGCGAACTGTCAATTGGCGCTGTCAAAGGCGACAGATGTAAAGAAAAGGACGCATAGCCTAACAGATGGAAAACTGATTGACAGATGCAGATAAACTGTCTTAGTATTATTAAACAGATAAGGTCTTATAAGCATTGTAATATCTGTAGGATTCTATAATGGATTTGAAAGTTTGAATGAGATGAGATAATGAAGCTGAAAAGAAACAATATTATCTTTTATCACTCTATTTCATACATTTTCAACTGAAATACGAATGATCAAGTAGTTAAAATGAACGCAACACACTAGAAATCATAAACAGGCGAATGAAGAAACAACGCATTGCCAATTGAGGTCATTCGAATAAATAGGACGTCTTGTGACCTTACAAATGGGGTGACCCACAATAATAAAGTGTAATCCCTTCTGTTCAATTGACCTTAACCCGCAGTCATAACTATTTGAAAAAAACAACAGAAATAGAGATAGGAGAGAGGAAGATGGAAAATTCGAGATTGTTTAATAGAAAAAAAAAAGAAGAAGAGGAAGAAGATGAGATGAGATGAGATGAGATGATTCTCTCTTAGACTGTTTTTTGAAAAGAAAAAATGCCAATTGTTTCATAGTCAAGGTGTATTTTATAGTTTTGAGTCCTGACACGAACATCCACCTATAATTCAAAATCAAACTGCAGGCAGTTCCACAACTGCTATCAGCGACAGCAGTTCAAAGTTTGTTTGTGTTCAACGAAAAATAAAAAAAAATGTTAAAAGATAACGTTTTCACAAACGATTGAGTTGTACATTTCAATCAAAATGTATGAAAGTATCAAATAGAAAGTATTCATTCAATTTTCGAGTTCAAACTATCAAAGGGACCTAAGGATGATGTGAAGCATAAACTTGAGAAGAATTTTTAAACAAAAAGGGGTCGATTTCGGGTCATACGACTCTTTACACAAAAAACTGAGAGACTGTTTGTGTGCTGCAACGGATTTACTTTTCTACTTTTATTTGAACTAAGCGCCACTTGTCTCTCTCCAGATGTAGGCATAGTTTTCTCTTCATCTCTCTGCTGACCTAGTTGCATCGATTAAAGTTAGAAGTATTATGCAGTTTATCGATCAAACTTCCATCTGAAACGAAATACCTACATTAGAAATAGATCTGGCTGACAGAAAGTAAGCGTCATCTGTTCTCTTTAAAGATTGAAAATACTAATTTATATAAATATAAAGAGAGATAGAGGATGATATTCGAAAAAAAAACATATAAAAACATAGAACACCGTTACATATACATACATGTGAAGAGAAAATGAAAAAAAGGGAATCAATCATGGTTCACGAAAGATGTGATTGAGGAAGAACTATATGAGAAATAACTAACAATAGTTATTAGTTAAACGTTAATGACAGACATCAGGAAGAAAACAGAATTGAAAGATGTTAAAAACAAACTGATCGTTGAAATGGCAGTTCGTTCAATGGATGATATAAAATGATACACAGACTGATAGATTGATTAGAAGAATATTATAAGTTAACTACATTTACCACAATCGGAAGAATGGATTTCGAGTATGTACTTTCTGCTGATATGCTTCGTGCCAGGATGATGTGTTCTGGCATTGAGCAATAGCTGGTGTTGGTGGTGGTGGTGCTGATGTTTCACTGTTTATGTCATTTTCAAGAGGATTTGCTTCCACGCCGACTGAAAAGAAGCTTTTTAGTACTTTAAACATAACAAACAGAATTTTCTTCCGAAAAGTGCAACCAGATGGTGCCACTGATTTACTGTGTTCACTTTTTTCATATAAGAAGTGAGGATTACCTTCAGGTGGGTTCATTCGAAGACTGGACTGCCGGCTACGATGGAATCTACTTTTCTTCTTCTTTTTCACTTCAATCATATACTGTGGAGGCATCTATAAAGCATTTCTCACTTCAAATGCAATTATAAAATCAGTCTTACGGCAACTAATTGATATGGTGATTTCTTTTGACGTAGCGCCTCTCTCAAATTGAATATTTGCCCACGTAGGACACTCAGTTGACGTTCAAATAGATGTTTATCGAATCCTCTATCAATCTAAAACGACACTATTGATCAAATAAATAAGAAAACGCATACTTTGAATATATTTCGCAGGTCTTCTCCTAACTCTTTCACAAACTCTGTGTTGTTGAGAAGTGGGAACAAGAGGTTAATAATTTCATCACTGAAAGGTATCCGAGATTGTGGCAGTGAGCTCCATCCAAATGGGTCTGAAACAGATTTTCATATTAAACCACCTGTGAAAAAGTCAATCATACATGTTCGCCATTCATCTGGATGTTTGAATGGGAAAGCTAAGCCGTTGTCAATGGCAGCTATGGAAATCTTATTGAATGGTTTTACGTTTTCATAATTGCTGAAGCTAGAAGCAAAAGCATCATCTGAAATTCAAATTGGTGAAATTCCACATGGGTAGAGCAGAAAGAAACCTTTTCTGTCATTCTCGTTTTTAGCTTTTGCCTCATCTGTTGCTGAATCGGAAAAATCGATAAGTTTCTCTTCCTCTTCCTGATTGGGATTGGTCTAATTCAGACTATAAATGGTGTACAAAGATGAAAGCTCACTTCTTCTTCTGCATTCTCCATAAATTGCTCGTTTGTATTGTTTTCAGCTTCTTCGCATTTAATGAGCCAGTTATCATTACCACGATCTGTTTTGTGTTTTGAATGAAAGTGAAGTGGTTTGCATCATCACTTACCCGTATTTCGAATAATGTAATCAAGAATAACAATTTTCTCAAATTGAAATTGAAAACTTTTCTTTTCTTCTTCGCTCATTTTTTCTTTATTCGATTCCCATTGCTTGAGCCAGATAGCTGCATCCTTATAGCCAACCACAAACAATTGAAAGCTTCCTCTCTGCAAGTGAAAAAAAAACCATTTTTCATTGAAATGAATTGTTAGGTCATACTTTGGGTGGTAATCCCATCATTCTGACACGTCTTGCTATGTCAGGATATCTTGAATAGATTCTTTCCATTGTTCGTGCTTTTGCCCGATCAAAACGTCCATAACAGAATGTAGGTGCTGCTAACTCAACTATTCCCGTCTGTGGAACAACATTCAAACCAAGTTTTCTGTCAACTAACGAAGCGCCAGCTTCAGAAAGATATCCCTGAAAATGAGAATAATTATGAAACTGGTCTCCAAAACTCTCATATTCATGAGAATTTAATTTTTCAATTTTCATTTCACTCCTTTCCCCCCACCTCCCTTAGTTTAGATCCATTTTCGAAACGTATTCATTTTATATTTTTGCTTTGAAGATGCACAATAACTATTGAAAATGAATTTTCATTGTCCTCACTCAATAATTGACTCGATTTTCACCATTCAATAAACAATTTGAGAGTAAACCAAGGTTAACCGCATGAAAACCGGCTTACTTCATACAAACATGCACGGAAACATGAATTGTACAACGGAAAACAGCGGTTTTGTATTTTGCTAAGTGAGTCTTCTTACAAGAGTACTTCTGGTTTTCTTTCAAACTGATGGTTGGGAAGAAAAGAAAAAATGCCTTCAATACATGTTTGTTGAGAAGGAAAAAAAAAAATTTTTGTCCATTCAGAATGCTCTCTAAATCCTCTTATAATCTTTCTCGTTTCTATGAATATATGTGTGACTTTACGGCTTCATCAGAGATTTAACAAGCTCTTTTCTCTGACAATCTCTTGTCACATGTATTCTGTCTCCGATTAAAGATTGCAACTGCAACCAGCTTCTCATGTCTCCAAAACGAATGACCATCTGTTTATGGCAGCATTAGTTGGCAGCTGGTTTGGCCGATACATATCTTTAACAAATTAGTGTATTGAGCTCAAAGGCTATATGATTTTAGTGACCCGCAATGAATAGCACATGCATGTCTATCCAGATCCTCCAGCTAAACAATACGTCCCATCTCATCTTACTCTATCCATTTCTCTCTCTCTCTCCCTCTTCCTTATTTTCTTTTCAACTGACATTCGATCTCACGGAAAGACTTAACGTGTCATGAACATCTTCTTTGAACCTTATTAGTTTTACCCCACCTAAAATTTTGTTTATTTATTTGTCCGAATGTATATGTTGACCATTCAACTCTATTTTCTTCCGTTTTTCATGGTTGCAGGCTAAAATGGCAATCAATAGCATGGGCTGAGCTTATGAGCTTGTCTGCATCTCTCATGCCTTTGTTTGCCTCATGCTATCTCGGGTTAGTTGCCTATATGTCTCTCGGCTGTAATTATTGCATTCGATGGTGACTACGACACACACGAAAATACCCAGTCGCATTGAAAAAGGAGCAAAGAAAATGCAATTGAAATTTGCGAGTGCTCTTTTGAAACAACAAGAGAATATAAAAAACATTGAGCCTTTTTGTTTTACAATCTGTCATAGGATATCATGCCATCTGCTTCCGGAGACTCATTCTTAAAAACTTTTAAGCCCACTAGAATCGGAGACAGTTGTGAGCTTATTCGTTGCAGTTCATGTAACCAATGACATTGCTTTTGTTTAGAAGTCAAAGTCGTTTGCGCTTGAATTTTCATTTCCGGCCCTCTCTTCATGCTCTCAGAAAGTCGTTAAACAAGGTTTTGAAACCAATTTTCGTCAATTTCATTAAATTTGGTACAACCCCCTCTGATCATGAAAATTGGTGAACCTCATTGCAAAATTGCAGTTTCCCAAGCATCTCCAATAACAATTGCCTTTTATAATTATAAATATATACGCTTGTTTACTGTTTGTGTTGCATAGCAACCTTTTCACGCTTCTCCTCTTTCGCAGGAAATGAAAACATAAGCAGCAAGGCTTCAATTGATTTCGGCTTTCGCTTCTATAGCAATGTCATTTAAGTTCAAACTGTTTGTCTCTCAGCTGTCTATCCTTTTTGTTAAATTTAAATTCGCATGCTTTATATCTTATTCTGAAGAAGCTCTATGTCTTAACTATAAACTATTGCAGCTCATAGAAGATAGTGAATAAGCTTACAAAACTCAGAACAAATGTGCTGCTATCTGTTTAATGTTTTTGAATGCTATTGTCAGAGGCTGTTTTAAATCACAAGAAACAGTTCCAGTAGACGAAACTAGCCAATTAAGTTCTCAAACAACAACAGATCAACCACAAGTTGCTTGTGAACCTAAAAAGTTCTTCTCTTTTGGTCAAAAGGTACAAGTGTGTCTATTGAGCGATTCTGAACTCAATACAACTGTAAAAGGACTCAAGAACAAGGAAAGAAGTGTCTCCGTTCAAGGTATAATATAACATGATAGTGGCAAATAATCTCAATGTTTCATTAACTCTCTTGCTCTCCAACTAAAAATTTCCCATTTCATTAATCGTTTCGAATTGCCAGTTCAGAATTACTCGAATATCATAGAGTCCTGTGTATACGCTTAATCCCGCCTCTTTTATACATTCATTTAGACTCTCATCAAGCTATGGATAATCCAAAACCCGAAGAGCCAGGTGAAATACATATCCCTAGCATGAACGATGCTGACAGCATTCCTATTGGTGGAACTGATCCACCAAAAGAGACTACTCCCGAAAGTCCCGGTTCGAGATCGAACTATGGTGAATTCTTTTGGTTTGACTCCATTTTCTCTTCTCACAAAAATTGAATGCTCTTCAGGGATACAAATGGTGAGAATGATTATCACATGTCATTGCTAGACGATGACTTCTTCATGGATTCTCGTGGAGCGACTGCTGCACGTTTAGATCGAACTCAAAGCGATCTAAATAAATTTAAGCAGCGCATCGACAACAATGTTGAACAACAACGAGAATATTCGGAAATGATGGCTAATCTCCAAACTAAGGTTTGTATCATGAGCTATCGCATGATTCTTCACTGTTGTTCATTATTCTAAATCAACAATCATACCATTGAAGGTTCACGATTATCGTAGACATCTGGCTCAAATGGAGAAAAAGCTTGCTGGTGAAAGCATTCGTTTACCAGATAAGCCTTTGGTAACCAATATAAACAGCGATGTTATTGACTCAAACACTACATATATGTGAGAGAAACATTCAACATAGCATGCAATTATATATACTTTGTAGTCGTGATGTAGAGATTTGGAGTCCCTCTCGTACCCTACATACTGTCTCGGCTGGATTAGGTGGCGATAGCAATGCCAATTATGAGATTAGAGCTCGCTTAGATGATGAAATTAAGAGGTTTCTACAATTTCTATCTGAGTCATAAGAATATGACTCATATCGTTCGCTATAACTTGTACGAATTCTAGAGGTGAAGAATTCCGTATGCAATGGGAACATGAGAGATCCGTTCGTGATCAACTGGAGTTGGAAAATGAAAGACTTCGTTCCGAGTTTGATCGCTTTGAACAAGAGTTCCGTGATAAGGAACAAAGCTATATCCATAAGAACAAGGTACAAGACAAGTCAGAGATCCTCAAACTATATCTGCGTTTCCTCAGAACTTGACTCAGTATCTGAGTGATGAACAGCAGAAAATGATGGATCTGTGGACTGACTTACAAAAAGTTCGCAAACAGTTTGCTTCCCTCAAGCAACAGACTGAAAGTGATTTGGAAGATCAGAAAGTGGAAATAAGACATATGATCCAGAACATTTCCAATGCTGCAGGCTTTGACGTAAGAATATATATTCAACGAAATTTTAGAGTATTATTAATAGAATGCTAAACGTATTGCCTATGGTGAGAATATCAATTCATCAACCAATATTGATATCAACGTTATGGAAATGTTGAGAGGTTTAAGTCGTGGAAACAACTCCCAGGACAAAGAGTTTCTCTTGGAGCATTTGAAGAAAATAACAAACGTGTCTGATAGTGAAGAGATCACTGCCGAAATGTACAATGGCTTGGTTTCTCGGTATGTTTTACTTCAAACACACAATTTTAAACAGAGCTGTTCAGATATGAGAACACTATCAACAACAACTTAGAGTTACAAAAGAAACTTGAAGAGTTAGAATCCAAAAATAATGAGCAAGCTTCTTCCTTGAGAAAGAAGGAAGAACAGCTTTCTGAAGCTCATCGCGGATTACATAGAGTCTTAAAACTCGCACGTCGATCTGATGACAGAGGATTGCGAACTCGCTCAGTTTCGCCTGTACCCGACACTGTTCCAGCCACTGAATCCATAAACGCTGTTCGTCAAGCTTTACGTACTCGAGATCATGAAATCCGTAGAGCTGCTGAGAAATCTGCTCAACAACAGACACAGGTATAAAGAAAGAATGGTATTCTTCCATTTTTTTGAATTTCAGCTTTCTGAGCTTGAGAATAAGCTTAAAGCATCTGAGGAGGCAAGAAAGCGAATGGACAAGCAGATTGAAGATGCTCGCCGTGAGCTCACCAATAATCACAAGTCCATCCAAGAAATGGATAGAGCAAGATCTCGTCTAGAAGATCGCATCAATGCAGCTCAGCGAGATGTTGAAGCAGCAGAAAAAGCTCGTTTACTTGCTCAGTCGGAAGTGCAAAAACTCAGAAAGTAAGTGAAGAAGTTGGGGATCTAATTACAATAAATTTACAGTTTGATGCAAGAGACTGACTCAAACAACAAAACTGAGTTGGCAAATCAGCTCGAAATGTTGTCTTCCAAGATGGATGAGGACTTCAAAGAAAACTTGGCTAACATACTTCGTCAAAATGAAGTGCTCTCTTCTGAGAATAGCAAACTGAGGATTGAAAAGCGAGCATTAGAGGAGAAACAGGCAGAATATTCAGAGTCGAACACGGACCTTCGTAATGAGCTTCAAACACAGGTAAGTCAGAACTTCTTAACACGAGAAACTAAGTATTATATTGTAGAATATGAAACTGGAGAACCTCAAAAGTTCACTCGACAAGTTAGAGAGTGATTTGAGAAACTGCCAACAAGAATTGGAGCAAAAAAGTAGTGCCCTGAGAAACTTGCAGAGCGAAAGAGAGAATAACATGAAGACAATCCAAAAACAGGACTTCAAACTACAAGAAATAACACAACAGCGTGATCAACTACTGTAAGTTTGATCTATACTTCGTACTCTGAACATCGCTTTTAGCAAAGACAAAACAGGAATAAAGGAGAAGATCACGATTTTGGAGAATAAATATTCGACAACTCTGAAAAATAAGGAAGATCATGAGCGCACTCTGGATAACTTGAGAAGCGAGTTGAATGATGCACTTGAGAGATTGAAAGAGCGCGATGCACAGGTATGGCATTGAAAGCGTGCGATAACTAGTTCATTAAAAACATTGCAGTTCCTTCATTTGAATGAAGTCAATGATAACTTAGACACTGCTAAACGTACCTATGAAGGCAAAATAGCTCAACTTGAAATAGATGTTAGCAGTCGTAACAGTGAAATTGATAAACTTGTAGAGCTTAACCATAAGCTCCAGGATGAGAGAAAAGATATTCTCAATCAGAAGCTAGAATCAGACAACAAGATAGAGAATATGAAAGAAGCTACACGTAAGCTGGAACAAGAACTTCACAAAACAACGATCGAAATCAAGGTTTGTGTAGGAAAAATTTGAAAACTTCAATTGATTTTATAGAAGTACGAATCGCAGAGTGATCAGAACAGTTCAATCGTAGCTGAGTTGGAGAACGAAATAAGCAAACTACAGCGTGAAATAGCTGAGTTGCGAGATGAAAACAAGGAATTGACAGGTCTTTTGAATAATCTAGATAGTCTGTATGAAAGAAATCGATTTAAGATCAAATCAATGATCTTCAAGAAAGAATTAGACAAAAAAGAGGAGCTACAGGTCGCAAAGACAAGGGAGGAAGGTCTGATACGACCACCTCAACTACTACCACCACAATAATTCATGGAGATAGAACAAAAGATTCTGGAGATGAAATATATATTCCTTCACGTAAAGAATTATAGTTGAATAGTTGACACTTTCAGTTGCAGATACTCCTGAGCACATGAAACACGAAGATGACGGTAAATATGATGATGGAAGCGATGTACGTTTCTCAGAAGATCATCTCATCATGGATGTGAAGTTGAGAGAGTTGAATGATCATTGGAGACAACAAGTAGAAGACATAGAGAAGAAGAATGTTTGTTTGCTCAACAGACTTCAGATCACTTTAATGAATTTTCAGGAAGATCTGATGAAGAAACGTAATGAATCAGATCAAGAAGTTCAAACTCTATTAAATGAGATTAATTCATTGAAAAACGAAATAAAAGACAAAGAAGTATCTCATGAGCAACAAATAGCAGAAATGCAAAGAGAACTCAAACGTCTTAGTGAACGTCACATTTTCGAGAATAATATTGAAAAAGAAGAAGCTCAGGAGAGTATTAATCAAAGAGATCGTACGATTTCTGAGTTGAGACAGAAAATTGAGAAGCTGCAAGAAGCTCTTAATGATGCTGAAAACAAGTGAGTTTCAAAACTGGTTTTCGCTTCACGATTTCTTCAATGTTTAGGGTTCAAGCTTTCGAAAGCGATAGGATTGAAAATGAGCTGAGAATCAACGAGTTTGTTGATAAGATAAATAACTTGAAGAGTGAATTAGAAGAATCACGATCTTCATCCGAAAAAGAAATACAAAAATGGAAGAAAGAAGCTTATCAATCCAGTACGGATAACAAAGTTTTGGAAGGCTCTAATATGGCATTGAAAGCGGAGTTAGACTCAACAATAAGTAAACTAAACTTGTTAGACAAAAATAACAAGGAAGATAATGTAAAACTGAGAGACAGTAAGTTTACAATACTATCTTGACAGGTCATAACTTGGCTTTCCAGATATAGGAACTATTCGTCAGTTAACAGAACAGCTAAGCGGAATCAAGGATGAAAACCAAAAAAAAGATGATAGTATCAGCTCATTGACTGCTAAAGCACAAGATCTCAAACATCAACTTGATATCTTGACTGAACAGTCCAGCAAATGGAAATATGATGCCGAATACAATCAACGTACTGTTGATAACTTGGAAAAGATCAAGACTGATCTAGAGAATGACTTGGAAAACAGCAAAAACAAAGAAAAATCTCTAAGTGAGAAGGTCAGAGAGTTGAAGCTAGTCAAGGAACAAGACAGAACAGATGTATGACAGTTTTTGAATCTAGAAGTTCCATTCATGTTTATTTCAGAAAGAAAACCTCAAACGAGGTTTCCGTGAAAAAAATCAACGTTTGGAAGAGATTATCAAGGCTAACAATAAACTAAAGTCAGAACTTGAGGATACTCAAACCAAACTCCGCGAACTCAACAACAAGGTGATTCTCAATTGTTCGCGATGATCTATTGCTTCTTTCAGATGATTTCTGCTGATTCGGATCGACAAAGTCTTGAGAGAAACTTGGAGAAAGCAGTCAAAGAATTAGAGTTCTGCAGCAGTCAGTTGAAACGTAAAACAGATGAGTATCAAACAGCATTGGGAGATTTGGCTCACAATCAAAGAGTGTCTGAAGACGGTCGTCTCAATGCCATTCAAGAGCTTGGTCAGTTCTCGCATAATCACTTTTTGTTCATCTTTCCCACTTTAAGAGAGTAAGAAGTATGAAAACGATGACTTGAAACAACGACTCAGCAATATGGAACAGAGAATGTTGAACCTACAACAAGAATTTGTTAAAGTAGATTCTGAACGAGATGCTTTGACAGAAGAATTCGCAAGATTCCATTCGTCTATCAGAAATATGTTCAATAGCCGTGTCAGATTTGATACTAAGATTGTCAATCGCGGTTTGGCTTCACCAAAACATCGAACAGACGTAATACTACAAGTGGAGTGATAAATAATAATCAAACAATGTTTCAGGGAACGGCTCAGATGGATTCAACTATTGGACAACGTGACACAACGAATCAGATCGATATTCCATTCAACAATCCTGCTACCGGAGATTTCTCCGTTAAAACACAGTTTGAAGTCACAAGCATAGTTTCTTCCATCAATGACATTCTAGACAAAGTTAGAGAGTTGGAAAGGGAAAGAGTGAGTAACCACATTACATCCACATATCACACCCGTCTTACAGAGTAATTTGACTGATGAGTTACAACATTTACGTAAAAAATTGGATTCGAATAGAAGTTCAACGACAAAAACTGACAAGACATACCGCACAATTGAGCTTAATCTCAACGATGTTGAGGATGGTAAAACAATAGATTGAAGCTTTGATTGAATTTCAATTTTTAGAAAAACGAGGTCTCCAGTCTTCAGTTGACTCTCTCAAAGAGATAATTCGCAACCAAGAAGAAGCCTTCAAAGATCGTGACGAAAAAAGACGAAAGATGAAAGTAGCGATGGCAGCTATGGAACTTGAAGCTAAGGAAAAAGATGCTCAAATCAGACATCTCAAGGTAATTCTTAATTAACATTGTATTGGAAGACTGGAAATTTCCAGGACTCAGTCAAAACGTTGAAAACAAAATTGGATGACAGCATAGTAGAGTCCCAAAACTTGAAAGGAAAACAAATCGAATATGATGCCAACCAATTTGACAACGAAACTCGTTTGCGGGAGCTTGAAAGAGATGCTCTCAAATATGAAGCGACGATTGCGGCAAACGAAAACGAAAAACAGGTGACTATTGAGAAATTGGAGAGTTGAAATATTCTTTGATTAAGATAACTCAAAATTTGATGACTGAATTGAAAATAGAGCTTGGTAACAGTGAACACAAGCTGGAGAAGATTCAAGAAGAAGTAAACTATCAAAAAGCAGAAATTCAACGGTTAGAGAAGAATGAGATGGAATTGAAGTCCTTGAACGAGAGAACAAGCAAATCAGCTCATGAGCATCAATTGCTTAAGGACCAATTCACATCACTTCAAAATGATTATAACAACATAATTGTTGTTAAACAAGGATTGGAAACCCAACTAAATGAGTCAAAGGCAGAGCTAAGATCAATGAAGCAACGTGCATCTGATTATCAAGCACGGATATCCGAGCTTCAAAGACAAGTTCATGATCTTAATATTGATAAGCATCGATTGGAAGAGAGATTTGTGCTAATTGATAAGGTTAGTTTAATGGTTTTCAATAGATATACTATCGATTGAACTTTATAGACAAATGGTCAGTTCCTCCAAAAAGAAAATAGTTTGAAACAACTTCTTGAAACCGTCCGCAATGAAAAGAAGCTTTTGGAGAAGGAAATTGATGAAATGAAGAGACGTTTCTCACAATTGGAGATGGAAAAACGTTTGAATACTACTAATATGGAAAATGCTACAAAGGAGAAGCAGCTGCTACTCAAAAAAATTCACATGGTTAACATAGTTGCAAAAACAAAATTTGAAGTATAAATTTGCAGCTCGAGTTGGAAAAGCGTAATACTGATGCTGCAATCAAAGAAACGGCTTTGCAACGTGAAGCAATCGAGAAGTCTTTGAATGCAATGGAGAGGGAAAACAAAGAATTATATAGAAACTGTGCCCAATTACAGCAACAAGTACATTCTAATATATTAACGCTGAGAAACTATATCTCTTTAAGATCGCTCAGCTTGAAATGGAAAATGGAAACAGGATTTTAGCACTGACGAATAAGCAAAGACAGGAGCAAGAAATGTTGTTGATGCGTATTCAGGAAGAGAAGCATCAGATTGAAAAAGTCATTGATAACAAAGAGAGAACTTATAAGAACCGCATAAAACAACTTGAACAACAGATTTTGATTCTCAGAGAACAAATCGATACAGAAAGAAGACGCAAGAGGTAGCCAAAATAAGTAAGCAGATGAAAACCATTAAAAAATTCAGAGATTTTGGTGACAAAATGCTTATGGGAGGACTCGGACCTGTTAGCACATCTCGCACTGTTCTTCGAAGCAGTTACAGAGATACAACACCATCCTTTGGAAGGTAATCGTCTTTCCAACAGTTTCGTTCGAAGAATTGCTGTTATAGGAACTTCTCTTCTCTTCTCCCATCAACTTATGTCTCAAACCCATTGTCACCAACATCAGGATTACCGACTACTACTCAAACTCATGAGCGAGTGACTACTTCGACTCATGATGATGGAGGTTGTACAAACTTTAATCAATAACAGCTATATGTAATGTTTTAGAAATAGATATTCCCTTCAACAACTCAGAGTCATGAATCAGATGAACAAGGATGACTACTGAACATATATTATGCTGCGTATATTTAGTGGGCAACTATGTAATCTATATGAATGAAATGCAACTCTCACTATTGATTGCTTCTACATATTTAGTTAACTTGCATTACTCAAGCCTATGTTATTTAGTAAACGATGCTTATTATATGATTTTACAATAAACATTATTATATTATTTTGGTTTTCTTAATAAAACATTGAACGTACCTGATTTGGAATCAAACAACTTCGACCAAAACAGCAGGGGAGGAAAATTTTGTGAAACCATTTCAACCATTTCGGATTCAAATGGCCATACGGCTCTTCATTTTTAGGTTTGAAAACTCCAATAATATTCTGAAGAAACTGCTCATTTCGATTTTCATGTAATATACCCACTCCTTGATCGTTCTTTACAAAGTAAGATCCGCTAGACCCTTGACTTATTCTTTCGGGAAATATACCATTATGAATAGCTTGAGTAGCTTCTTCACATACAGCACGAAAACCATCACCCGCTGTTGCTCCATACTGTTGTTCTGAACATGAATTGATTGCAGTTCATGTAATCTTTTTTTTATGTTATCTATTTGTAGTTATCAGACATATGCACTCAGCATTACCAAGAATTTCTTTCTTTATTCCTTGACACAGGCAACTACTTTCTTATCAAATCATACTAACCTGTCAATATGGAGTCATCGTCTGTTGTTGCTCCAATAGACACATGACCGTCGTCATTATGATCATCGCTCAAATGAATAGCAGGAGACTATGAATAATAGAATAAATAAAAAATAAATCAAATGATGAACATACTTTATTCTTCTTTTTAATCAAATGCACTTTTTCATCGGTTTCATCATCTGTGTCTGAAACTTATAATGATATAGACAGTAGTTCACATTAACACAATAAGGTTACCTGATGTATGAATAGGCGAAGCTCTCATATTCTTTTGATTAAAACTCTACAAACGGCTATAGTTATTCTATAATGACCAATATGAGACATTCATTTTCACACGTCGCATAACAACTATGGGAAGGCAATCGATTCATCGTTATGTACAAGAGAAACAAAATGAGATTTATACACTTATTTCGATATTAAGGAAAGATAATAAATAGATTTTATCTGTACTAATCAATTCAATCGGGACTATTTGTCGCACAACTTAACTTTAATAATTCTCAGCTGACTAAGAATCTTTTATATATGAATAAACTACAATAATATACACACATGAACAGGCAAACTATACACTACATGAATCAATAAATTTTAATCATCAAAACACACGTTATGGGTATTCAAAACATTAAACAAACGCCGAAAAAAAGCCAGCAAACACGTTCGCTTTCGGGCACATTTTTAGCATTGGGTCAGGAATGAAAATGAGTATGCATACGATGAGGGGAAAGGGAGAGGTTTAGAACCATGAGGGAATAACAGGGAACGGAAAGAATGAAAAAACAATTGTGTCAGAAAATTTGATTATGATAAAGTGCAATAAACGAATAAATATAAATATTCAATATAAACAGAAATAATTAAATTATAAGTTCATTCTTGAATCATAGTTGTCAAGGAGTAGTAGATCCATTATTATCTATACAAGCTTGCATTTTTTTGTTAATCTATAGCTTCAAATTATATACAATGAATTTATTAAGTTGAAATAACTTCTCACAGATATCTTTGAGTTAGATGATTACTAAGGATGTCATGACCTTTAGGAGAACAAGGATATGCTAGAAAATAATAATTCTAAAAATTATTCATGATATAACATTGATATTCATATAGCCTTTTAATAACGGTTTGAAACCTGTGTTATAATAATGACAATAATATAAAACGAAATATGTATTGAAAAACAAAAAAAAAACAAAAATTTTCGATGATCAATATACATATCTATCTCTTATCAATATACACATCTAACTAACTAATCTTTTTATATTTTTTTCTTAAAGTACGTAATACTACGTTAGTTTGTGTTTTTGTGTTGAAAGGTATTTATCTTTAATATTTATTTTTTTACACGTATTTATTTATATCTGATTTAGTGTAAATATGTTGGATTGGTGAAATGTTTTATAAAAATATTGGATAAATGGAATGATGAACAAATTGGAAGATATTGCAATTCAGAAAGAGAAACGTCAGGTAAGAGACAGTTGAAGAAATTCGAACAGGTCCATCATTTTCAGAAATTGACGTCTTCTGTTTTCACCGGATTGATGTAGAACTTCCATGATTTAGCAAGGATGAAAAGGTCGGGAGGAGCTATGAGTTGCTTACAAGAAAAATTGAGCAAGTCAGTTTTATGCCTGTGGACGAACTACTTTTGTTGTTCCTTTTTCCCGTTTTATACGAAGTTTTTGTTTCTGACCAGTGCTCTCACTCACTATCTCCTGAAGCAACTCTTTTCTAACTTTGAGAATTTATTCCCATATATCTCTGTCTTTTTTACATATTACCTAGTCTCTATCTAGAATTTTTCTTTCCCCTCATCTTAGTGTAAATAGAAGGCTATCGGTTAGTTCAGCTCTTCGTTTCTCTACGCTGTGTAATAAATGTGGGAGGAAAACGTAGAGATATTCGTACACTTGAAGCAGAAAGATTCGTTTCCTTTTCAATTGAATAGAATAATTGAGTATATATACTTCTTTCAGTCTTTTCAAATCTTATCCAAAATAGTATTACGTTCGGGGATGGGAAATATATACATCAAGAATTCATCCTTTCTCCATACTCAAAGATTGCTTTATTGAATTTTTTTCATCTTCGTTCTCTCTTATTTTCGTCGATGTCATAGTGTCACTCTTCACATACACTGCTTGTTAACTCTTTCTCGCTCAATCTCTATACTTTGCTATATCTGTATCATCTTTCTTTTGTTTTTTTTGTTTCATCCACTCATTCTCTGTTTTTTTGTTTTATTGCTCATTCTACCTCTGACTCATTTCACTTCTGTTTCTCTTTCACTCATCCTCTCTTCTCAAAATCATATACTGAGTCACTCTTTACTCTTCTGTAGTTTGCTGTCTTCTTTCTCATACTTTTTCCCAGAATTTTTTTCTTTTTCTCTACGTTTCCCTCATTCGTTGCCACTTTCTCTCTTCATTTCTCTGATCATCACCAGATTGTCATTGTTTCTTACGTATTTCTTTCTCTGTGGTCAGCTTGCTGGAGAAACAGTTCACCTGCGTCTCTGACACTTAGTACCGCCCTATTCATACAATCTCAATAGGGGTGCGGGTGCTCTTTACTATGCCTATAGCCTAGCTATATCTTTCTTTTTGTCTTTCATTCATACCCTATTATCTATTGTTCAAATAATTTTATTTCTAATGTTTATATTCTCCAGGATAACAAACGATGGCTAATAAACAGAAACATAAGAAGAAAAACAACAACATCAAAAATAAAAACAAGAAAAAGCTCCATCACGTTCCACCTCCTCCTGTTGAAAACGAAGTAAAGGAAAAGGCTAACCGCTTGGATTTTTATCCTTTCGCTTACTGTCTGTATGAAGAAACGCGTAACCAATTTTGTTGGTATTGCTTGACCGCAAAGTCTGAAGTGAATCCATTACAGTTAGTTTTTGAATTGAAAATTCCTTAAGATACTGTCTTATTGAAGGAAATGCTTTGGTTGCAAGACAGCTCTGTATTGCAATCGTCAGTGTGATGATTTGGGTTGGAAGGATCATAGGGTAAGATTCTCATGAGAGAAAGAATCGAATTTGTCCTAATTAATTTATTCATTCTAGGGAGAATGCGATGGCATAAAGAGAAATGGCATCCTGCCAGACATTGAAGTTCGTATGCTCGGCCGTATTGTTCTACGATACAAGGTAATTAAAATATAATAGTGAAATAGAAAGAGAATTTCAATTTCCTGTTTTGAGGATATATTGGATCGAAAGAATAAAACCAATTTTTTCTACAAAGATCGCACATCGAGAAGGGACATAATGGATTTATGTCATCATACGGAAACCATGAGAGCAGACAACTACGCTTATGGGAAATTTGATGGTTAATAGCATCTGGCTGTTGAAATAGCCTTTCAAGTTTTTTCTCTTCATTCTTCATATTATAGATATATACAAACGTCTAATAGAGTTTTATCGAATGGACTTCCTACTTTCAAAAGAAACGATCTTTGGCTTGCATTGCCGAAACTATATTAATCGCCATGGTATCAGCGATTCTGGTTACAAACGTGTAAGTAGATTATAGTCCAAAATGATTTGCATCCACTTCAATTAAGGAAATTGGAAAGGGGCTTTATCTTGACTTGTGCCAATATAATCATTCCTGCCGGCCAAACGCTGTCTACACGCATTACGGATTCATATCCACTTTGAGAGCTTTAGATGACTCTGTCGACTTGAACGATATTGACAATACGTTCTACTCGTACATTGAGCTATCAAGGTTGAAAATTTTATTGTGAAAATTAAAAATATTTAATTTAAGACCGAGACAAGAAAGGCAGTTGATGCTTAAAGATTCATGGTATTTTGAGTGTCGTTGTGCTCGCTGTACTGATGAAACTGATCATTTGAGTACTAGCATCAAGTGTCCGTACTGCGAAGTATGTTGAGCTAATAATGTAAATGGCTAATTGTTAACTACAGTATCAAGATAGTGGAGTCGAAACTCCTTTGTGCATATATGGTCGTCAAAGTTACAAAGACCCGATTTCTGGAGATATCTCTTGTCCAACTTGTAAGCGGCACATTCCCAGGGTACTCATTAAATCATTATTGCATCTGACTATAATTTTTAGAGCTATATCTCATCCTGCCTGGATGCGATGAAAGATCTATCCGCTGAAATGCGTAAAGAATCTCACGTAAGTAAAAACAAATGAATGCTACAATTTTTTTCGTAATCTATAGTTGAAACCTCCTGATGAGTTGTTGAGACTTGCTCGCCTTGAAGATTACTACTCCAGATCTCTTACAAGTATCAATATCTATTACTGCGCTGTTCTCCAGGTATTATACTCAAACAGTACAAAATTAAACTCGACTACTTCTAGAAAGCTATCACTTTGACTGATCCTGCTAATATTGAGAGTTGTTTGAGATTGCTTCTTCTGACTGAGCCATGTGTTCGTGTATCTTATCCGAGCACTCATCCCGGTCTCGGATTCCACTTGAAGTATGTGAAATTTGAATTGTTTCTTATGATAAATTGTTTTCAGTAAGATCAGTTACTACTATCTGTCTTTTCATGATTATTCCAATGCATTCAGATATGCGAAAGAAGCAAACATAATTTTGGTACGTTCGAAGTTAAATTTTAGATAATCAACAAGATTATAGAGTGGTGTGATGGATGCAAGACATGAGTTATTACAAGAAAATACATGCTTACTGAATCTAATCAACACCCACCTCAATAAGGAGAAAATGCAAATGGCAAATCTGGAGAAGATAAGAAACCTTCACCTTAATGATCCTCGTCTCAAATCACTTCGTCAAAATCCAAACAACATTCGTGCCATCAGAGCGAAAACGGAAGCTGAGCAAGGTTAAATTTTTCCCGTATAGTAGAATGTTCTGTTTTTCATTATTCAGCTATAAACGCTACTGGAAACCCAGCGGAAGAAACGTCTAAAACACCCCAGGCTTCTGAAAACGGAGTTGAAAGCGTTGTGGAAACTGTCAACAACGGTGATGATGGAGAATCTCCTTCCGTCGTTGAAGCTTCAACTCAAACCACTTGTGAGCTTCCTTATGAGTTGGCTCTCAGAGCGGCTCAGAAAGAAGAGGATGAGCCTGCTCCTACAGAATCTCAAGAACCTCAAGTACCTCTTGCTCAAGAGGATAAAGTTGCTAGCGTTAATCTGTCTAACGATAACGATGACTTGCCAGAGCTATTGGCTGACTAGAAAATCAAAATTGGTTAGTTCGTTCATTCCATGACTATGCCTGAACAAGAAAACGTTTTTTTGTTTACATTCTATAATGATTGTTATTATAAGCTGTTAAGCTTGATTTTTGTGCATGTGACCCTATTGTATATTTAATTGGTATTTTGCTCGATTACTGTAATCAAAGTGCAATGCAATGTGATGCATGTAAGTGACAGCAAAACTTTCATTAATAATTAAAACTTTCCTAATGTTTCGCATTATGCAAAACTTACTGTTTTATACAAATCGTAGTGTACAGGGAATAAAAAATCTTAAAACAGCCGCTCGCAGTAACATAAGACCATTTGATGGCCTTGAGCAATACATAACATAAAAATATTAACAGGTACTTGATAGATTAATAATGCCTAGTTGAAACATTCGAAAAGCATTGTGAGCAGATCATGCACTGTAGATGCTACAGTTTGTAGTTAGAATCAAATGCGCTTTCTGATTCGAAACCGTAAACTTACAAATATGGATTTCAAAGTTAGTAGCAACTCCGTCAGCGGAATCCACTTCCACTAATTTCCTGATATAAGACATCAAACCATCGATAGTACTGACTATGAACTGCTCTAAGTCATAAACGTCTTGTACATCGTTTTCTCTGCAATTCGAATAAGCTCAGCCGAAACCACTTAAATTAATATACCTGATTGCTATATCACTCCAGCGACCTAGGTAGGCCGATTTCGATGAAGCAGGCGTACTCCTGAGAAACGTGTGAACATTGCTTGTAATGTGAATTCCAGCAATCTGAGAGAACAATTTAGCACGCTAGTATTATTCATAGCTATCTTACCGTATTTCCATTTTGAGCAGCTCTACCATCAATATAACCTATATGAGCGCTCATCTGCTTCTCAAAAAGTAATTGACCAATTCGCTCTTTTTCAATGTGTCTTCTTCTTAGCACGTCAGTCCATAAATTTTTCCGCTTGTCTGGATTTCCTTCAGTGCTCTTATTCAAAAGATTTCTAAAAAGTTCGCAAGGATAAACCAAATACATGGGAAAACTCACAAGCTTATAGTTTTTACAGAGACACCTGGAGAGGATATAGGAGTTCGAAAACGAATTGCATCACGAACACTGCTCCACGAAAAGCGTCTAGCATCGTTTTGTTTTTGGAGTAACCCTATTCCTGGCTGAGTAGGAGTGGTACAAGGACGAGTCTGATTAAAAAAAGATTTTCGATATATTGTTTTCTTACTGACCGAATAAACTGTCAAACGTGCTACCAGTCCAGTAGCAACACATATAAGCTGTTCATCACTTAAAAGATAAACAAAACGCAAATTAAAAAGTCCGTTGGAGTTTTGTAACAAGTTCTTAGATTCCGTGATCAAACGGTTGAATAATTCATGGTCCATGAAGGGCAAGGCCTATGAGTTGATTCGTCAAATGATTATCAAACATGTATAGGTACGTTCGTCAGTTCCTGTCCACATTCATCACTGTCATTGTAGTTTAATGTTTTTTTAGCAATACACACCTGGAAGAAGGAAAAGAAGTTCAAAGATGACACCTGAAAATCGAGACCTGTAAATAACTTGGAGTACCTAGAAGAAGAGACGAGCGTGGTACTGCCGTAGTTGTTATCACAAACGCAGGAACTTGATTAGATCTGAAAAATTATTGTGAGCGCATAACTCGACTCATTTGAAAAAACCCGCATTTACTGCATCCAATCATTTTATTTGTCTTTGTCATCTCTGGATCCTTGAGAGTTGAGTGCAAAAACTGGCATGGACGTTGAATTAAAATGAACTGTTCTAATTGAGAGAGACCTGGAGCAGGTGTTAACTATTAAACGAAAATATCTTACTGCGAGGATCGAGTTCAACCATTGAATCTTCTCCCTGGTAGAAATCAAGGTTGAGCTTTGTACTTTGCATATAATCTATGTTAATAGCTGTTCCAGAACAAATCAGTAACGCTAGTCCTGTTCAAGGAAAATACTGTAAATGGTTATACCAACATATATTTACCGTTAAATACTTGAAGCTGTTCTGTGTAACCAACTACAGCGTTACATCCTAAGCTTAGTGCTTGTTGATTAAGTTCACTTCGCATTTCACACCACCAACTGAAAAATGATTCGAAAAATACTTTTGATTAATAATCAAGAAGATGTTACGATTTGCGAACAGATTCGGGATCTTCATCATCGTCATCTAACAAGTGAATAGCTTTAGTCGCTACTAGTCCACCAATCCCTTCTTGGCTGAAAGTCAAATCGAATTCAAAATATGTTATCGTAAACTAGCCTCAAGAATGGCAGTGATGATATAGTATATATAGGAAAAAGTATTTTTTCTAAGAATGGTACTAACGGTTCATGAGTCGGAACACTCTTCAAGGCGGACCCGATAACTCGGATTGTTATCAAGTGTGAGCTTGGCTCTTCAAAATCAACATATTCCTTGAATCTACAAGAAAAATCATTTATCCTAAAGAATAATGATAACATACCCAACAATGATATTAAAGTTAAGCTCCGCAGAACGCATAGCTAAATTAACAGTGCATAAACGTAAATTTTCGCGAATTATAGATAAACGTGCTGAGTTTGTTGCTCTGTTCGATCGTATCCTAATTCATTCACTTTATCAAAAACTTGTTGTAATTTCAGAAATACCTATCTATCCATTCGTGATCCGGATCGACTACACATTTTAAATCTCCAAGAATACCGCCAACTTCCGTGACCTTGTGATGACTAGGCACTTCCATATCTACAAAGAGAAAGTTGAAAATGTTAAATGAAACTACCTGTGAATATCTGTACATAGTTTTTATAATTAAATTGAATGAGAAGTTGAATTTTTAAATCAAAAACTAGTTCGCCGCAGAAACCTTAAACATGTTATTGAAACTGAAAGAACATGAATTACTCATACCATTGATAGAATCGAATATTGGTAAAGTACAGACTTCACTAAAAATTTCTTCATTTTTCATCCGCATCTTTTCAACTATAATGCTACAATCCATATCAACTCGGCCGATGGCATCATTAGTGGAATATGAATCATAATCCATAACACTGAAAAAAAAAATGTTATAAGCTGCCGAATCCATAGAACCGGAATTGCAGCTGATTTTCAGCCATTTCCTTTTCATCCGTGTCAATAACATCAAGATTAAAGTTCCATTCAGGATTTAAACTTGTTACTATCTGTAACAATCGTTCTCACTTATTGGCAACACCTATTGTCTAACCTCTGTCTTTCCATCAAGATCAACATATTCGAAGTCAACATAAGCATCGGTAGTGTTTGAAGACTATAAGTATATAGCTAAACGAATGATCATAAAAAAGAAGATTTGAAAATTATTATTCAAAATGATACTCGATTCATAACAGGTAATCCCTTTGCACAAATTATTTTAACTTCCATGCGCACAGGCAATCGTTGACAACAAACAGGTATGAGCATGTTGCCTTCAACCTTGAAAGACACACTTGAAAAATAAAATAAAGAAAAGTGGAAGAAATGTAAGGGAAAACACAATGGAAGAGAACTAAAACAATATGCAACTTTTAACTTCCCGTTGTTCGTGACCTCAACTCAGCGAGCAGCTTTTGGCGCTCAAATTTAGCATTGGAGCACGTTTACCACAAAAATAAACTATGTGAAAGTACAAAGTACTATAATGCGTGTGAGTTATTAACTTTCACAAAAATAACAAAAAGTAAAAAATATAATAATTTTTTTCTGGTTGGAATAAAAACAGAGTACTGAAACACTAAGTTGAGATGAACCATTAGATCTTGTGAAACAGTCTTAAAGCTAAGAAGGATCATGTAGATCGTCATAAGATTTCAAGAAAAATAATTTATAAGATTCAGCTGGTTTTTTGAATTAATTATGGGTCAAATGCATTTATTATCAGAAAAAAACATTTGCATAACACAGAATCGTAATCGCAATTCATAGAGATCATTTTCTCAAATACAGTAATACATGACTTAATCAAAATGAGTTAAATATTAACTTTTTTGAATTTTTTCAAATTTGAGCGTCCTATCACGTACAGATAAAAGATTTGGCAAAGTGATGATCTTTTGGCGCGCATTATTGTCCTCACTTTTATCATTCATCACGTTCTGTACACGATGTTTTAACTTTTCTTTTAATACATCAAATGAGAATTCGTCACCCTTAATATATATTACATTCTTCATTTATATTATGTTTGAAATTCACCGTTTTAAGTTGAACATCTTCTTCTTTAAATATTTTTTTCTTTACACTTGGTCTCTTGGCTTCAGTGTTCTTCTCTGCTTCAACAGACTTCTGAAAAATAGATTATTTTGAAATTATATCTTCTCATCTATTATTATTAGAACCTTTTTCTTTAGTTTTACTTCTGTGGTCTTTCTATCTACTTCAGTTGTGTTAAGCTCTAGAAAATGACTACAACTAATTGTCCATTTCGCCGGACTAACCTGCGCTTTTTATTTTGACTGCTAAAGTGTTTTCTGGCTTTTTTGGAATTAAAGATGATGGAATTGCTTCCGTCTTCTTTTCTTTTTTGATTGGGGTTTGAACGGGACCATCTTTTCTTTCCAAATTCTTCTGTTCAAATTCTTTTGCTTTTATCGGCACTATAATCTGTGGAATGGTTTCTCCATGGTGTGAAGTTTGAAGTGTTGCTTTTGATGGATGCTCCTTTCTTTTAATTGAAGTTTTGTTCTTCTGTATTGTACAGGCTGCTTTCTAGAAAGTTATAATCAAAGTAGCTCATATGTTCGACAAACCGTCTTAGTGTTAGAATCTACAACAGCCAATGCTGGAGTTGGTTTCTCCTTCTCTTCAGCCACAGTTGCTAGCTTCGAAACCAACTTAGGTGTTTTTCTGAGAACAACTGACGCTTGCAGTGGTTTCATCTCTTGTACTGTGAGAACGTTATCGTCAGATCGTTTTGTTGCACGTTTAGGTGCAATAAGCTTCCGCTTTGTGTATGAACCGGCTTTAGTTTTGCATTTAGTTACGGAGGGTGTGGCAGTAAGGGTGACTGTTGTGGAGACAACTTCAACATTTTCGCATTTTATCCTCCTGATAATGCCACGTTTGATATTTTTCTTTGAGAAGGAGAAAAAGGCAGAGAGTTCCACTGTAGGAGCTCGAACCATTTTTTTCGCATTGCTCTTAACCGCTATAGGCTCCAAGGGCTGTAATGAAAGTTGGTTGATTGAGTTAATCCTCTATGCTCAAACCTTGATAGAGTTGTTCATCTCAGGTTTCTTTTCTGAATAGTCCTTGACTTTCTCTTTGGTAACAATCTAAATAAGTCATTAGTGTTGTACATGTCGATGTCGAACCGGCAGCACTGTGTTGAACACTTTTTCTTTCTTCTGTGTTGTTTTTATAATTTCTCTAGCTAACCAAGGATGACTCAAACACTCTTGAGGTAGCATTCGGGAACTTAACAGAATTTTTCAAATTATTTTTTTTTCCAGCCTACCCTTTGTTATAAACAATCAATTTCGAAATGAAATCCTTTGCTTCATTGCTAACTATTTCGAATTCCTCTGTGAAAGCCCATTCTCCTTTCTCAACATTACAATATGTCTCAGCATTATTGTCACCCAAGAAGGGAGAATAACCAGAAAGACTGTAAATAATAATTTAACAATTTAGTCTCAACTCATTCTCACAGAATGTAAGTGATTACTCCTACGCTCCACATATCTGTATGAAAGTCAAGATTTTCGAATTTAATAACTTCCGGAGCAGCAAATTCTGGAGTACCAGCCATGAATTTAATATCCTATAACTGATTATGATCTTTCTTATTGCTCTGGCTGTATACTTCTTTTCCATCGTAAAACCGAGCTAATCCAAAATCAATCAATTTGATTTCATTCCTATTTTGCGAGAGAAGCATGATGTTTTCTGGCTGTAATAAAATAGAAGTTCATATCATGTTAAGCTGCTTTGTGCTTTTTGATGCACAGCTGTTGCGTAAGCTTCAATTTTTAAGTGTGATAATGAAAGTACACGATATGTCACCCACGTTATCCGAAACAAAAGAATTTTGAAAAAAACAGAGAAGTTAATAAAGAAATGAACATACCTTTATATCTAAGTGAATAATGTTTCTTTGATGAATGTAGTTTAAAGCTTCACATAATTGCTTGATTATACGCATAGCATCTGGCTCCGATACAACATAATTCTCATCTGCTATGCGTTCAAACAGTTCACCACCTTTTACACTGAAATGAATGGTTTGTAGTTTGAATAGACTATTGATTAGTTCATACATTTCCATTATGAGAACAACGTTATTACTTAATGTACTAAATGCATCATGTAGTTCAACTATCTTTGAATGTGCCAAGTTCTTAAGAATTGAAACTTCCCTCTCCACATCCATTTTATCGTCATCCTACAGTAAACATCTGTCACGTGTTTTTATCCAAACAATCAAATACTTTTTTTATTTTGATGAATTTCGCAGCATACTCACGATTGTTTTCTCGATCACGTACGTGATATACTTTACCGAATTTGCCACTGCAAAAAAATATTTTGTTAGTCATATGATATGTTTCATCTTACTCTCCTAAATGCTTCACTATCTCATAATGCTTTTCAAAATTAACTTTGTTTCTAAATGAACTACACTGTTGATTAGGATCTGTAAGAGGATAATTATATTTTTGAATAAAATTATAATTAATAACAAACCTTTATCGACGTTATAATTCAACATTCTTAATTCTTAACCCTAGCATTAGTATCCAAATAATACTTCTATCATATGTTTATAGATAATCTGAAATATAATATGTGAAAAAAGAAAGTTGAAGCTGCAATGTGTTATAAAGTGAAAGAAATCGGTAATCGAATAAGTTATAACATTCTTTCGAAGTTTTCTATCGAAGAAAGTTCTTGGCGATATGCTGAAGATGCAAAGAGCTAGATTTACGCAAAGCTGATGTTATCGTACAACAGGGATAGATGAGAGATCAGAAAAGAAAAGAAAATAAAGAAGATATGTTCATCAATACTGAAGATTGTGTTTGCCCTATTCTTTTTCTATTTACACTATCTTAGAGATTTTCCAGATGAATCTTAAATCAAAGTAAGTAGCTTTTTATTGTCGATGTTTTTTGTGTGACTATTTTATAAACAGTATCGATTGATTCAGAGTAGTTTCTGATATCTGGCTGTCATTTGATGGGTGGGATGATCAGCTGTTGTTAGAGTTCAATTTCAATCTGAAGCACGTTGGGTCTTTGAGATCATAGATTTTTGAAAACTTCTGTGAAATGTTTGATCTTCAAGCTTTCTAACAGATCGATTATTATTCATTGCATTTGCTTATAAATTGTGCAGAATTATTTCTTTTGTTTGAGCCAGCGAAGAGATCATTGAGAGCAAGTTTTTTCCTTCAAATCTCCATCAAGCCAAATAAGGTTTGAAAGTTCCCTATTAGTTGTTATAATAAGATTTCAGCATGTAATATGTAGAAATGAAGATGCAAAGATGAACTGGGATTAATAGTGATCAGGCATAAAACCTGGCGCATGCAAAATTTCTCCCCAAGATTTCCATGTTTAGTACGTTCTATTTCTCAATAAGGTAGCCTATGCGAATGATGTACTGCATAAGCATTTCATTTGTGGCAGATTGATTATATATGCGTTGAAATATGGGAGAACTGGGAACCTAGTAAGTCTTCTGCAGTAAATCAGATTATATATGCGGCAGCCAAGCTTCCATTAGTTTTCTATTGTTTTAATTTCAGTAAATAAGCAGGAGAGTTGCAATTATGAACTCCGCCCACTAGACAAGAAGAACCCAAATTCATTCACATGACACCGTTTGAGCAGAGAAGAACAGCGAATCTGCCATAAAGAAAAAAGTATTTTTCTTTTCAAGGAACTCCAGATGAAATGCCGTTTGTGAGTTTTTTCTTTATTCTTTTCGTGAGCAAAAAGCGTTACCATAGAGCTTTCTTTCTCATTTAATAGAGAAGCAGTAGTAGCCCATACATTCACTTTCTTTTCGTCGTAATGATAGTTTTTCGACTAGGTATTATGCAGAAGATGTTTTCAACCAATTCCACGTTTTCTGTCCTTTAAGCGGAGGATTATAGCTCGAACTGCACATGCTAGTTGCATGCACTTTGTACGATGAGTATTTCATTATACAGTGCAGCTTCAAAGTAATGAAGCATGATAGCTATCGTGAATGTTCTTATGTCTTGTAAAATCTATGTACGAATTACTTACAGGGGTGCATTATGGAAATGGAGCTAGAGGCACTGGAAAACGAACAACTCCGAGCTCGTCGTTATTCAGGTATATACTAATACTAATATATAATCTCGAAACATTGTTCGTTTTCAGAACGCGATTGGTTTATCATGTTTGTGCTGTTCCTTTCTTTTACCGTGCTTTTCTCATTTGTATGTAAAAAGG